GTCCGGCAGCTTGGGAAGACGGTGATGCTCGCCCGTGATGGGGTCCCAGACGACAAGGTCGTCCCCCGAACAGTTGAACGTGAAATCCCAGGACGACGCGGTGTTGAGGAGGACGCGGCCATGGCGCGCGTCGATGGCTCGCCCGTTGACTGGGAGTACAGCGCAGGGCAGAGGGGGGCGGAGGAGGTGGGGACAAAGCGCGAACCCGATGAGTCGGTGCAGAAAAGTCCCAGCATCGGGGCCGCGCGGTGGTACTCCCGGAACCTGCGGCGGAAGCTGGGGTCCGAGATGAGGCGCAACCAGCGCTTGCAGACGAGTGTAGCGCGGACGAGGCGCTCGGGCTCATGGGGAGGAAACCGGAGGAGGATTTGGTCGATGAGATCGTCCGTCAGCGCCGGCGGCGGCATGATGAACGCTGCCGGCGGCGCGAGGGTTTGGTCGATCGAGATTCGAGGAGAAAATTGAATTTTTGCCTCTATTGCAAGCGGGTTTCGTTCAAATGCTATACACGTTATTTTGCCATTTCCTAATTTTAGACCACCTTAAAAATTTTCAACCCAAAATTTTACCTGCTCTGACCATTTACCCCCGCCTCCGTTATTCCTCGTTCTCTCTTCTCCTCACGGACAAGAAGTCGTCTCTCTCTCTCGGCGGGGATATCTCCGGGGCGAGCAGGACGCCGGCGGCCACCGCCCCGGCCGCCCTCCCAAGCGCCCCCATCGTGAGTCGTGGATGAATCAAGATCATCCCCACGCCGATCGCTCCGGTGAGTTAGGCATGGCCATCCTCCCTCATGGCGCAATGGCTCATCGCCTCCTCGGCCTTGCTTACCACCTTCCGCACTCCCACGGCCGCCGCCGCCCCATGTCGTCTTGTTGCCAGCCGCTTTATGTGGCTCGCGCACCCCAGACGCTCGAGGATGCGGCGTGGCGGCTCGCTTCGGCCGGTGGCTCAGCAGGGCGCGTGAGGTTCGCAATGCGCCTTGGGAGGAGCGGCCGTCAGTGGTCGTGCTCCCGCTTGGGAGATCGCCCTCGAAAGAAAGACATAGAGACTAGACGAGAAGAGACCCTGCGATCTAGCCCGGGAAGCGGACGCTGCCGTCGAACTGCAACGACCGAATGGCCTCGGTGGGCTGGAAGGACTGGAGCGACGGTGACAGCACCACCATCACCATGCGGCGGATAAGAAGCCGGACAGATGCGCCACCCACAGCATCACGCTGCTCCCATGCGGCTTATTTGGGCCGCCGCCGCCGCTGGGGCGGGGAGCCGTCTTGGGGCGGATGATTGGCGGCGAGAGGCTCGCCCGGCGGCGGCTGGGCGGGCGGGCGCTCTGCCTTTCCCGCGAGCGAGAGAACGAGAGGGGGAGAGAAGAGAGGGCAGGGGTCAATGAGCTTAGGGGCAAAATGGTCAGTTCAGGCTAAAATTTTGGGTGAAAAATATTAAAAGTGGACTTAAACCTTAAAATGATATTATAACGTGTTGAACTCGTTTCATAAGAATATTTCAACGGAGGCCACAAATTTGATAGTATTTGGGCGAAGCCCACCTGCCATGAAGGTAAATTTCCAATTTTGTCGAGGGAGGCGAAGAGGTGACGGCTGACGAGTAACGACGAGACGGGCCGGCCCAATTGCCTGGTGGGGTTCAACCAGCTCGCTTGGTGGGGTCTGCTAAGTGGGGCCGAGGAGGGGTGGGTCTGCTAGGTGAGGCCGTGGAGGCAGTGACAGTGGCGCTGTTGCGGTACGACTGGATTTACATGCAAGCCCTCAAATGGTACGTTTGGTTGCAAGTAGACCCAAAGAGCATGGCCAGTTATTTTGGAGGTAGGGTCAGGAACATGAAGATATCCTCTCCGCGTCGCCATGTTCGCTTACGGGACCGTGTTTTTCTCCCCAAATAAATCGGCTTGAGACGGCTTATTCCCCGTATAAATTATGTTGTGGGAGAAAAACATTATTCCATAGCTGATAAGGTACGCTGATAAGTTCAAGTGAATAGGGCGACGATTGCGGAGGATTTACCTGAAGCCAAATGCAAAACGCCATGAAAATATGATTTGCAGGTAGTTACACGGAACAGGAAGATTCAGCAGTTTTTACTTTTTATTTACAACAGCTGAACTCGAGCACCAACGTAACTACTGATCAACAAATCCTATGCAATTAAAGATTCAGATTAAATATGAAGGTTCTGTGTGGCTGTGGCCGCACTATACAATTGATGTTGATGTTTTAGAGAACATTTACTCTGTCCGTTTAAATTTATAGTTGACTTTAGGTTTATTGTAAGTCAATTTTTTTTAGATTGAACTAAATTGTAATAGTAAAATGAATCAACATCAACAATGTCAATTTAGTTTCAATCAATTCTACATAAAAGATGACTGGATAGTACATACAATAGAATTTGTAGATGTTAATATATTTTGGAAAAGAAACTGATCCGAATTTGAGGAGTGAAAAATACATCAGGAAGTGAAAAAAAAAATCATGTCTGACTCTGTTCCTACTACTTTCTAGTGCTAGTCATTGAGCAGAGCTGAGGTATATGGCGGACACTCTTCCTTGCTATGCATTTAGGGCCTGTTTGGCAGAGCTCCTCTCCCGCTCTAGCTTATTCGGAGGAGCCCTGCCAAACAGTCTAGGTGGAGGAACCTTTTTAAGCACTTTTTTAGTGAAAAAAGGAGGAGCCATGGCTCCTCCAAAACGGCTCCAGCTCATGTGGAGAAGCCCTCTTAAACACACACTTAATCTAAGCTTAGGGCGTATTTAGCAGAGCTCCTTCGGGCTTCGGCTTCTCGCTACAGTACCAGAGGAGCCAGACCCAGAGGAGCTATAAATCGTGGCTTCTCCCGGCACCCGGTTCATTTTGACCGGAGAGAGAAAAACAACTCCTATAAACAATGCTGCTACAATATAAGATGTAGGAGGAGCCGGAACCCCAAAAAGCCCTACCAAACAAGCCCTTAATTGGTAATGCTGTTCAAATCTCAAGAAATGAATGTCCCCAAATACATTATCAAATGACCATGCAGTGCAGGGTACGAGGTTCATATAACTTCATACGGTACATACCTCCATGCATGTGGCCGCCTTCAGAAAATATATACTAGTCAGCAAAATATATACTAGTCAGCTGCGGCGATCTTCAACGACCACATTGTGAAACTAAGTCAAACAAACAGAAACAGAGCTGAACCGTTTTGTGAAGCAGCCACCATTGCACCCATAAGAGAGCGTACAATCCACAATCTACAAGACAACCGATCATCTATTCATTTTAGCATTATCCCGCATCACAGTTCAGAGAGTTCAAGCAAACACCTTCAGCTACTAGATACCAGACATTGAGCAAAACTACATGTAGTCAACCTCAAAGGCTCAAACCCAGCTAACATTACAAGCATGACCCATCCTCCACACACCATCCGTAATGACACAGCAGCAGAGGAAACACACACACAACACAGCGAGCGGCAGAGAAAGCTGCAGCAAAGCCACGCGCAGCCCTGACCCCTGAGCCACCCTATGCACATAGCACCTTATTGACACAGCACGGCACCATGAGCTTTCAACATATTATTATACAACATATGCCACATAGTAGATAGGAAACAATACACATAGCGGTATCTACGATATATCACAGTAGAGGTAAACCCGCGACTCATCCCCGTTCCCCTCTTGATGTCTTCTCTCCTCCCTGTCTACCTTAGGTGAAGTAGATGCTTGTCAAGGAACAAAACAAGTGTGATGGTGCAGCCAGTTCACACTTCGAAGGGAGGAGGGTGGCTGGTCGTCCCTGGTGGGGTTGCCCTCTCATATGCGTCGGATGATGATTTCCTTCTGAAGCGACCACCTAGTAAATTTAGTATTCAAGGTTAAGCAATATCCAACCAACAGAACGAAACAGATGATGCTGATAGCACTCAGAAATATTAAAAGCCCATTAATACATGCAGCTAAACATAAGCTTCGCCTTTGAGGGAAATCAGTTGTATTCTCTTATGGTCCATGTTAGTCACAGTGACAAGTGTGGATAAAAATAGAAGGCCAGCCAGAGATTATTATATACTCCGTCCGTCCAGGGATATAATGGATTTTCCATTGTACTAAACAAACCATGCTAAGTTTGACCAAGATTGTAGAAGAGAACAAAAATATTTACGATATCAAATGAGTTTTAGTAGGCATTAGACACGTTATGAAACGTATTTTGTATAGTTTACCTCCTTGATGTGGTAGGTGTTACTATTTTTACAATGGTTTGACTCAGGACAACTAAAAATCATCAGGATTGAGGGAGTACACACTATAAAATAACAACTTGCTAAACTAAAGCATGGTTACATATTTTTCAGAATTGGAATCAAGACACTGAAACGATTACAACTATCCTTCTTTGTATAATTGATTCTAGACAACCATCAACGTTTAATTGATACATAGGACAATTTACAGAAGGTGTTTCAAATTAATTTTCATATCACAACAGCAGCTTCATAGAATAATTTGTATACCAGGGCTTCATGACAGATTAGAAAAAATATCTGACTCAGCTACCTAATTCACTGACTCTGCTGTGAAATGGTGGCTGCCCTCTTGACTAGAGGCTCAGTCGTCCACTCTAAGATCATCAACGAAACATCTACTCGTAGCTTAAATTAGGCAAGACCATTGATAGAGACAACTTCTCATGTGTATTGCTAAACAGCTACTACCTTGTACTATGATAAAGCAGGCCCATAAGTGATACATACAGATCAAACGATCTCTATCATTGGATTCATATTATTATTACATAAACAAAAAAAGCAAGTCAATTTTCCTCTTGTTGCCTACCCCACATAACCCCAATGATAGCTACGTTTATCCGATATGATTGCTGCATTTCAAGACACAAATGATAACTTATCAACTAGTTAAATACGATAATATCCAGCTATGAATCCACGATGGAGACCCCAGAGCTAAAAGCACCCACTGCCACTGGGCAGAAATGTCCAAAACGCCCCTTCCCCAGTACGCCCCATCTAGACACTTCCTAGCTGGGCGACAAATCCGAAAGCCACCCGTCACGACGCTTCCAATGAGGCACGGCACGGGTGCGCGGTCCGGAAATGACATAACTGCCCCTACCCGTACCCGGGAAAAATGGACGCACGCGAAGGGGGCTGCCGAGTCTCTGGCAGGGCACTCACCGGCGCCGGCAAACGGCGAGATGGGCGGGGTAGTCCCTAGTGGCGAGGCCGGCGGCGTGCTTGCGGCGCTCCTCGGCGACGACGGGTACCCCGCGGGGCGCTTGATCATGATGCTGCGCGTCACCTTCACCGGCGTCTCGTCGCTGCTCGAAGCCGGCGAGGGCGGCACGAACGCCGCAACGTCCTCGGCCGGATCTACACGGTCGACGAAACCACAAGTCAGATCGAATGGGAACGCCGACTACGATGGGGCATGTTTTTTTTTTTCAGCAGCGGCGGTCACCAGCTCACTCACCATTGATCTTGACGGCGGCGGGGCGCACGGGCTGCTTGCGGAGGCGGCCGAGGCCGGTGTCCGGGCGCGGGCCCGCGAAGGTGTCGTCCCACAGCTTGTCGAGGAGGCCCATCCCTCTCCGTCGTAATCACCCAACTGCCGCTGCCAGACCACCGATCTGGTGCACAGTCCGTAGTCCTCTACCCACGAAACTTCCGGATCTGGGCGAGAAGAAGGTATGAAGCCAAGCAGGCAGCGCTTATTTATAGATCAGTCGGGAGCTCGGCCGGCCAGTTCTCCCTAGACTCGGTTCATGGACCGCGGTACGGATGCGGGTGGGGACGGCGAGAGGTGGCGCAGGGGTGCACGGTGGTCCGTTCACGTCAGTCGTGGCGGGTTGCGGGGCGCGGAAGGCAGGACGTGGCGCGGCCGGGGCGGGTGCGTGGATAAGATCGATGGGGTCGTGCACGTGGGGTGGCCCGCCTGCCGGCCTGTCGCGGGACGCCGGGTGGACGTCTCCTGGCGGGCGTCACGTGACGACCCCACCGGCTCCGGCCCATCCCGTGGAGCTCAGCCGTATAAATAGTGACGTTTCTGGATGGTTTTGGTGTAACGTACGACGGCCTCATCTACCAGAAGGGGCTGCCATGTGGGACAAGGATCCTGGTGGGATAGGCTGTGGCCTGTGGCTGCGAGGTGCGTTATGCGTGAGGTTTCTTGTAGGAATATAGTTCTTTTTGGAGGCCGGTAGCCTGCGCCGATAATTGATCAAGGTCCAGCAGCAGTAATTTTGACTTGACCGACTATGATCACAGATGCACCCCCTCACTTTGAAACTACAACGGGTGTTAACTTTTCTAGATATAGTACGTTCTAAATTATAAGTTATTTTAAATTTTTTATAGAGTCAAAATATCTTAATTTTTACTAATTTATATAATAAAATAATAATATTTATAATACTAAATAAGTATATTAGATTCTTTATTAATTATATTTTCATAGTATATCTATTTGATATCATAAATCTTTATATTTTATCTATAACTTTGGTCAAACTTAAAGATACTTTGACTCTCTAAGAAAGTTAGAATGATTTATAATTTTAAATGAAAGAAGTACTTTAACTTTAAGTCTTTAACTACAATATATATCTGTAGCAAAAGCTATGTATACGTTAAATGACTTATAATTTTGGATTACATAAATTTACTATAAAATTATAATATTTATGTCAATGAAACCCATACATTATCCACTAACATATATTTAATATTTAACTATACATATTATAGCATGACACGTTATCCACTAACATTTATTTATAATAGTTTATCTTTTCATATAAGTCACTATATATGATTTAATTTCATTTTAGATCGTTCGTAATTACCATAACAATACATAGGATATGCTTCTAGTGTCTTACTTAAATGAATTAATTTCTATAGTCGTCTTAAGTCATTTAAAAAATTTTGACCAAACTTATAGGAAAGAGCGCCGGAATTTATGACACCAAGTTAGTATCACTAGAGACACCAATACATATATTTTCATATATTGTATTCATTTGGTGTCATAAATATTTCTGCAATTTTCTATAAATTATGTCAAATATAAAAAGTTTGACTTAAGACAATTTTAAAAATTGATTTATTCAGGTACAGAGGTACGATAGTATAAAAAGTAAACACAACTAACTTTCTATCTCAATTCTCAACATGCAAACCATCCACCCTATCTTCCATTAAATATCTACATCATCTCTCACTAAATGTCATGTACCTCGATAAATATATTTCTAGTTTTTTAAGAATAAATAGATTTCTAGTTAAAGAATTTGTCTACAAATAAATCAATCTCTGAGAGGCTGAATGGTCCATTTTTTTCCTCAAAGTCTCCTGGCATTTACAACACCCCTTTCATCTTCCAATCTAGTGTTGAGTTTCTACGTATGGATATGTGTAGTGAATGTTATAATTAATGCGCTATTGGAACAATCACCGAATAGTGTGCAAGTACACTTGTTAATTATCTATTTATTTAGGGGTAGAGGAGTAGTATTTTCGACAATGAATTTTATGTCTGAAGCTAAATATGTTCAATTGAATGGTTGTTTGAGTTTTCAATTCACTTGTAATAATTAAGCGCTAATAAAACTTGACCAACTATAGGTGATTATCACAATTAAACCAGTTTTGGTTTTACCTTGCTCAAAGTCTTGCATTGCATGTCTTCTTTACCATGCTTTGTAAGAACGACATGTGCTCAATGTTACTGTTTTTACTACCCCTCTAGTCTGTTACGATGAGCTGCTTGGAAAACGAAGATCTGATGGAGTTTTTTTTTTGGAACCGAGGGTTAAACCCCATTTCCATTTCTGGCATAATGGAAATACAATGTTTTAAGAGTAATATCAGAAGTGAGAACCCAAAAATAGAAGCAAACTAGATAGCCAACGAAACCTGACGGAGTTTTTATAATCATACAAAGAGTCCAAAATTGATCCGAGTCACATATACGTATGAAACTTGTGCCGAGTATGCGTATAGTTAGTGGTTTTGTTACTAAAATCCGGTGTGACATTAGATAGCTGTTGTATTATCTACGTGACAGTTACACTACGTCCGCTAAAATTGCTTTCAAAACCTGGGATGCACCAGCGATAGGACGTTCAACGCCAGCATCGTGTCCGAACGCAGCTCCCATATCCACGCCCAACGCATGCAACTCCCTTCGCTCCGCGCCAAATCCTAATCTAGAGATAACGTCCACGTGTCTAGAGCTCAGTACCTGCACCCAACGCCCGCCCGTATCGCATCCCGTGCCACGAGCTCACTCGCATCGCGCGGCAGCAACCGTGCCCCCACGTCCGCATGTGAACCACAACGGCGCCCAGGCAGCAGCACCAGGCTGTCGCGCCTATACTGCGGCCGCACGTGAAACACGGCGGCGCCCCCGCAGCAGCACCAGGGACAGCGGCAGGCCGTTGTCCGCTAGCCACCAGCACGCATTGCAACATGTGCAACATCCCGATCTACTTTTGAAATATAAAGATGGAACATTTGCAACATACAACTGAAACACATGCTCTTGAAATATGCGTGTATAGCCATAGCAACATATGCAACATCCAGATCCACTCTTGCAACATAAGTTATGGAACATCTAAAACGCACGAAAACAAACACTCGAAACATGCGTGTGCAACCATAGCAACATATAGATGAAAACACTTGAAACATACGTCTAAAACAACTGAAACACTTTGAACATAGGCTTGAAACATGCACATATTGTCATTGCAACATATGAAACATCCCAGATAAGCTTTTGCAACAGATGAAATACTTAAAACATAAGTCGGAAAACGTCTGAAACACTTGCAACATTGCGTCGCTCGACGTCTATGGCCTACCTGGTGGGGGACTACCGTAGCCCGCAAACTTGGGTTTAAGGGGACGTCAAGAGCAATGACCGGCGACCTCCTCCTATTGACGCGCGTGGGTGGTGGTGGCTTTTTGCATGCCATGGCCGCGACGAGCAAGGCGGGTGGTGGCGCTCGAGTGCGGTGGAGAGGAAGGATGGCGGTCGGCTGGGTGCGGTGGAGAGCGCCACGGTGCGGTCGCTGTGGAGAGCGGTGGTGATTTGAGAATGGGTGCGATTACGATTCGAGAGGAAAGTGAGCGGATATTTTTTTATTCAGAAATACTATGGAGCAACGCGAGCGATTGTGCGAATGGAATAACAATGTTGGGCTGTTCGGGCGGGCGTCGAGACCGACAAACACGGGCGTTCGGACGCACTACCCACAACATTTCCGTTTTTTTGAAAAGGCTGTGGAGTATTTTTTTTTCTTTTGAGTGGATGGCAGAGGAGACAAAATAACGATTTTCTGATGGAGGCGGCAAATCGGCCGAACTTCGGAGGTCAAACGCACTTCGCCCAGTAACTCGCTTGGGCTCAGACGTGCTTCCTTCGGTTTCACCTGAGTTTGTCTACAGCCCAACTGGAGAGACATCTTGGCCCGGCCCAAGAATCTAACACACCCCATTCCTCGCGAGTCGGGAGCGTACCCTAGCCGCCAGCCGCTCGACACGGCCGAGCCCCCAGCTCCCGGCGCCTCCAGCTCCAGCCTTCAGCGTTCTGCTAGGCCGCCGCAGTTTCCCCGCAACGCCGCCGGCCGTTCGTTTCCCCTCTCCGCCCCGCCGGATCCTTCCCTCGCTCTGCTCGTGACCCCAATGCCGAAAAAGGCCGCCATGCGGCGCGGCAAGCCGCCCGCCCCCGGCCAAGGGAAGAGGCGGCGCCACGGGCCGCAGCTCTCCAAGGCGATGCGTCGGGAGCTCGACGCGATGGGGCCTGGCCCTACCCGCGGATCCGACGACGAGGAGGGGTCTGACGCGGTGGCCGAGGACGTGTACGAGTACGAGGAAGGGGTGCCCGAGGAGGAGTCCGGCAAGAACGGCCGCTACGACGCCGTGGCCAAGTACGAGTACAATTTCGACAGCGACGCCTCCGATGCGGTGCGGTGACCCCTCCTACTCGATGCACTGGGTGCACTGGGTCACTAGCAAAGAGATTGATGAGATGATGTTATTATAAGCATTTGAGTTGGTCTCGAACTCGCGCCGAATTATGTTCGCATTTGTGTTTTTCTAGGATGAGGATGTGCCTTCGGAGGAAGGCGAGGATATGGAGGAAGATGATAATGACGACGGTGATGATGAGGACAAGCAGATAAGAATACTTCAGGAGACGACTGGAATGCCCAGAGAAGCTTTCGGTGGTAAGCTTTTTTGCTTTTTTTTTTATCCTGTTGACGTTGCATACTCATAGACATTTCATACTGCTAAAACTGCAAGGTGCTAAACAATGTTGTAGCTCTCTTGAATAAATGATGTTTACCGAACTAATAAAACTATAAAAATGTTCTCTAACAATCTCCCCTTTCATGAGAGGATCTGAAACTGGTGGTCAAAATTGAGTTAGTGTGTATCATTTGGGGTTCAAAATCTGAAATAAATTTGTCCAAACAGGAAAGAAGAGGAAACAGCCATTGGAGCTGCCTCTGCAGCATGGTGATGGAGATGGACCTGTCACAATTCATGATCTCTTGGACAACGTCCAGGGGAAACCTGGGTATAGCAAGATCCGTAAGAGGCTGCAGCAGCAGGAGAAAAAACGGATGGTCGTGCTAGCCCCACTTCCAAAAGTAGAGAGGGACAAGATTGAGCGCAACGTGACGTTTCAGAAATCCAAGAATGAGCTAACAAAGTGGGAAGGAATTGTGAAGACTAACAGGGAAGCTCCTGTACTATACTTTGAAAATGATACCAACTTGGGTGTGAACACTGTTGCAGCAATTGCTAGCGAATTTAAACCAAGGACTGAGTTTGAGAAGAGGATTGCTGAGATTACGCAAAGTACTGATATAATAGAAGCACACAAGAACGATGGTGCCAAAATCCTGGAACTTAACAAGGTATCTTTGATGATCTCATTGCACTGCGTTAGTTCTACTGATCTTAACTAGGTTCTATAACAGTGCTGACTGCTATGCACGCTTAACATGTTTACTATTACATTATTTTCGAAGCCATGGAACATTCTTTCTAAATAAGTTAATGAACTTATGTAGATTGATGTGGAAGATGTGAGAGAACGCCAAAAACCGCCTTGCTAAGATGCGCAGCCTTCTATTTCGCCATGAGATGAAAGCAAAGCGTGTGAAAAGATCAAGTCCAGGACATATCACGGATGTTGAAGAAGGACAAATTGAAGGCAGCATCAGCAGATTTCGAGGCAGATCCTGAAGCTGTCAAAGATCATGCTAGGAAACAAGAATTTAAACGGGCAGAGGTAAATCATTACTCATGCTTTTCTCAGTTATAGGATAATTTCCTCATTGGTCTCCCCCACCAACGTCGCTAATTTATCTGAAATATTTATAGGAAAGGATGACATTAAAGCACAAGAATACATCACAATGGGCAAAGCGAATCATCAAGCGTGGATTGTCTGTTCAAGATGAAGGCACCCGAGCTGCTATTGCAGCACAGCTCCAACAAAATACTCTTCTGACTAGAAAAATGAATTCCATGAAAGATGATTCTAGTAGTGAAGAAAGTTCAGATGACGATGAAGACGAGAGTGACTCAGAAGCAAAAATCTTAAACAGAGGGAAAGAAAAGATTCTTAAAGCTCTTGAAGAAGACAATGAGATACCGAATTCTGCAGTTTTTTCGTTGCCTTTCATGGTGCGTTTTCATTACACATGCTGTCTGTGCATTTGTTTAGAAAAAAAGTATATTTGTTAGCACTGTTGTGATTCTGTCACCACCATAATCGCATTTCTCTGCTTATTTACAGGAGCGTGCTATGAAAAAACGTGAGGAAGCAACTTATGAGGAAGCACGACAGGCTCTTGAAGAATACGATGATTCCTTGAAGAAATTGGAGGAGAATAACACTGAACAGAATGAAGACTCAATTAAGGTGTCAGGTAAAAGAACATTTGGGCCTGTCAAAAATACACACGAAGAGTTCAAGAAGAGGAGAAAATTACATGATACTGAAAACAGCAGTGATAGCGAGTATGATTCTGAGCCTGCCCAACATTTGAGCAATAATGAAGTAACTATGAAACATGATGATATCCAATTGGGGAATGCACTACTGGATGATGAACCGCAGAATGATATATACAAAGTAAGACATTCATACCTTCAAGTTATTGTACCATGTGTTTTGGATAATGTAATCTGATATACATTTGTTGCATTATGTAGAGCTTTAATGATATCATAAAAAATCCTCGTCCTAAGACAACTTTTGAAGTTGGAATGTTAGCTGGTGATTCATGGAAGAAGGTAGTCATTCTGGTATCTTGCTGTAGCTGTTTATTTCCTTGTCTTATTTTAAGCTTGCTAACTCTTGTTTTCACCAGGTCAAAAGTAATAAAGGAAATGGCCAGAGCAATGGCAATGGCATTACCAATAAATCCAAATTACCAGTTCCTTCTATTGTAGACCCAAAGCCTAAGGTTTGCCTTAACTATGGTCTACAGTTCCTATTTGTAGGTCCATTCATTATTTTGCTTATTTCGTTTTGCACGTTGTTGTTTGAGTAGCAACAGGATCACAAGTCTGATTCAGATTCCGAGGAAGAGATGGTCGAGGGCTTCTTGACTGTCTCTGACAGAAAGGAGAACTATGAACTTCCATTGCAAGCTGATCTCATACGTCAGGCTTTTGCTGGTGATGATGTTGAAGCTGAATTTGAGAAAGACAAAATGGATGTTTTAAATGAGGAGAATCCTGAACCTGAAAAGCCTGCTCTTGTTCCTGGCTGGGGCCAGTGGACAGACATCCAACAGAAAAAAGGACTTCCCTCATGGATGATAAAAGAACATGAAGTTGCTAAAAGAAATAGACAAGAAGCCTTGAAGAGGAGGAAGGACTCGAAGCTTAAGCACGTCATTATTTCTGAACATGTAGATAAGAAGGTAAAGCTGTATTTGAGTCGTTACATACACATGCTCAGTGTGGTTTATGTTTCTGTTGTTTATGTAAAGTGCATACCTTTGCTGTTCCATTACAATTCTGGAACAAGAATCTTAGTTCACTAGATGTCCTTTAGTTTTTTTTAGAAATGCTTTATCAATAAATAATCTTACGGTTTTCACTCTGCAGGTTGAAAAGTATTTAGCAAGGAATTTGCCTTTCCCTTTCACGTCGAAAGATGCGTATGAGCAGAGCATCCGAATGCCTATTGGGCCTGATTTCAACCCAGTGATATCGGTTTCTGCTCTCAATCGACCTGCGGTGAGTGCATCTAGCTGATACATGGAACTCCTAAGAATTATTATTACTAGCTCATAGAATTGAGGACAGCAGAAATCAAACATGTGATTCAATAATCTACTTTGAGAGCTACAGTCTTGCCTTCTCTGATTTGCACTATATGCATTTACAATGAAATACCTACTGTTTCAGATGTGCAACCTTGATGTTTGTTTATGCCATCCAGCTTCCATCTAGAGGGCATTCCCTGTAGCGACATCAAAACTGTGGACACAGTAATAAATAGAGACATCACATGATTGACATTCTACCATGATGATAATTCATAAATCTTTTACTTACTAAAGCATTTGTACTTAGAGAAAAAAATATGTACAATGTTCTGTCGCCATGGCCAACTTTTTTTATTTTGATAATTAGAAATGCACCTTCTTACCATTCATTTATAAGATTGCATGCTGACCAAAATATGCTTCTATTCACTTGTACCTCCCATCCTTTCAGATTGTTAAGAAGCCCGGTGTTATCATCAAACCAATACAATATGAGGAGGTTAATCCCCATGAGAAGCCTGATGAACCAAAACGAGTCATTCAGAGAGCAACCCCAAACCGGAATGCAAAGAAAGCCTTTGCCAAACAAGGAAAGGGGGCAACTTCACAAAAGAGAAAGTGATGAGACAGTCGTCTTTTTGTCAATGGCTTCATTTGGTCAGAAGCGAAGACTTAAAAGGAGAGCTGATCCGAGTTTTATGTTCCCACACCGAATTTGCAAGTGCATGCCTCCAGGAGTGTATAGGGATTCTTCTCATAGTGAAAATGGGTTCCAGCTGCAGCGCATGACCCATAGGAAAAGGTTTCACACCACTGGTTTATAAGAGCAGAGAAATTTTGGTACAAGTAGTTTTGTCTTTGTTATTTATTGCTTTCGCTAATCGCCACACATGGTCCAAATATGTGGATGCTATATTTCAGTTATGATATGATGATTAGCACTGGCCACTGGTTGACTAGAGTCGCCTGTCTTGTATGCATCCCCACTTTTCAGACGCCAGTAAATTTGGATGATTTGTGTATGTTGAACTGATCGAACAGGAACGAAGTGAATTTGATGCCCACGGCCAAGGGGCTGGCGCGAACGATATCTGAATCGTTGGTTTCAGTAGCCAGATCTTATGGCAACCCACGTTCTAATGGTCCAATAAAAACTTTATATTTGTAGTTTGATATTTATTTTCATGTGAAGCAGAGTAACAACTTTATTATATTTGTAGTTTGATATTTATTTTTATGTGGAGTAGAGTAACGTGTCTAACCTGGAATCCATGCTATCGTATATATAGCATAAAAAAAGTCCTTACCCGTCCATATTGGTTCATGTAAAATTCTGTTATGATAGAGTTAATAATCATGCATATGGCCTGTCGGTTCTGCATTCTAACTCCAAAGATCGGTATGGCTTGGACGGTGCTCAACAATCAGGCAGGGGAGCAGCTCTTGCTGATTACAGCCACAACAGTGCATAGAAGGTCTCACAGGGCAGCCCTTCTGCAACAAGGTTCTTGGTTGGGGATACTAGTGCTCTGGCTCATCATACCGCAGTCCATGGGCAACTTTCAGATCAGATGCACATTCATAGAGCTAAGCTGGGCTCCTCCACTGTCTCCTCAGGGGACTCAGAAAGTCAGGTTGCTCCTCACCCAGCTCAGCTAAGCACAGCAGACCACCAGCTACAGACATTGGCGCCAGCCTGCAAGGCACCACGTCCACAATGAGTCTGCTGTCCTGGAACTGCAGAGGAGCAGGCGGGAGCCTCAGTCCAAGAGGGAGTGTTGTACATCAGATAGGAATGAGGAAAATGGGGCGTACTAAATCACACCTAATAATAATATCAGAATCACCACCCAAGAGCGGCTATCATCATATGGATTATCACAAACTGATGTACAACACGCCCAAGAGGGTATATTTCCCAAATCTGAGGCATGGTTAAAAATTTTGTTGGACAAATGAGCACGGATACTCGTTCTTTTTAGACAAAACATTTTTTTTTTAACTCTGTTGCATGGTAGATAGCTGGTAAAACCAAGAAGGCACCCCAGAGTGCAGGTGACACTCGGAAGTATTGCCTGCCATATGCCAAAGCAGACATACGATGGAAATATAGCTACAAATCAAAATATACATACATGAGTTAATCTGAAATGTCAATTGCTTACAGAAAGGGGCTAAAACTGGTGCTTCACGACATTCCTTTAAGAAACATACGCCAGCAATTGTTCTGGTTACATTTTACAAGAGGGCAGGATAATCTACTTGCCTCCATCAAACAAGATATATGGTAGGTCAGTAGCAAGCAGAATACCCAGCATATCACAAGTTCGTTAATACAAACCGTCTTCCTTCAAAAACGAGGGAGGAGCCTTGGCTAGCTGATACATGTAACATGTTTGAGCTGAAGTTGCAGCATCTTAGCTCCTGATAACCACACGCAAGCATCAACCTAGAGCAATCATATTTCTCCTCGGTAACCCCCGCCGCCAAAGTAGTCTTTTCTCGAGCCAGCAATTGCCATGGACTTTTGGTGCTCCAGCTTCGGACAGTCACTGACACGATGGCCAAGCCCACCACAATACGCACAACCTTTAACACCACTCTCCTTGGCAATTATTTCCTCATCCTCCAATGGATCATTGAGCTCCGCCAACACCGGTGGAATCCTCTGCTTTGCCTCCTTCAGCAGGTGCTTGAGATCGAGAAGCGTGGTCTCAGTTTGATTCTTGTTGATGAAGGTAGTTGCTATGCCAGTCTTCCCACATCGACCAGTTCGACCGATTCGGTGGACATAGTTCTCAATTTCGGCAGGCGTGTCATAGTTAATGACGTGCTGGATGTCAGGGAAATCAAGACCCTTTGATGCAACATCAGTAGCCACCAACATCAGTAGCCACCAGAACATCCTTCCTTCCAGTTTTGAAGGAGTCAATTGCGTTCTGTCTCTCCTCTTGATCTTTTCCTCCATGGATAGCAACAGCCTCCACTCCCTTTAGAAGAAGGTACTCATGGATGTAGTCGACGTCAGCTTTGTTTTCACAGAAAATGAGAACAGGAGGTGGAGTCTTCTGGAGGCATTCAAGGAGGTATATAATTCTAGCATCTTCCTTGACATACTCGACTTCTTGAATGACATCTAGATTTGCTGCCCCAGCTCTTCCCACATTGACAGTAACTGGTTTCACAAGGGCATTCTTCGCAAAATTTTGAATCTTCTGAGGCATAGTAGCAGAAAAAAGAAGGGTCTGCCTTTGATCCTTGAAATGGTCGAAAACCTCCTTGATGTCATCCTCAAATCCTAGGTCAACCAGCCTATCCGCTTCATCTAAGGTTAAGTACCTGCACAGATCATAAAAGGGACATTAAGTAACTTGGAACCATGTACAACAATTGGTGGAATGGTGGGAACCCTCAAGAGAGTCAGAGAGATTGACCAGTTTACGCACTATATGGTCCAACCAACTGAATGAATCAAGCCTGAACTGGAAACATAAAGCACTGACACATGGACACATGGGAAAAAGATCTAGTTTGCTTGATAGATTTTTCAAAAAGGGCATCTTCCAAAGACTTTTGGATGCCAAAACTACATTCAGCTGGAAGGAACAAATTAGCGGAAGATAAATAATGCAAGCTAAAATCTGAAATCTGGGTATAGTGACCGGATTGTAGGTCCAGCTGCTGAGGTGCTTGCTACAGCATTCTGCGGCACTTGATAAAAAACATTGCTGAACTAGAAACAGAATGACAGGTACAAAATAATTGCAACAGAAATACTTTAAATGCTCCTTTTTCACGGTAGGACTTTTACTAAAAAAACATATCACTTTTGTTTGATAATGAATTGTTAATCAGATTAATAATTAAAAACAATTAATGATTGAAAGTACTGAATACTGATCTATGAGAACATATGCTCCTCTTTCCCTAGAAAATGGTGCAAATTTATATGTGGATCTCTTTGTGCAAGTGTTATATGTTGCATACAACATAACACCATGTCCTACATGACAATATGATATGCAATGGCTTATTATCCACTCTAGTACAAAGAAAACTAAATGAAACAAATTCAATAGTCACCCTAACTTGTGTGCTGCCACAAACACATTTTGCAAGCAGGTCCATATTTTTTCAATTTATTAGAACAGGGTTCATGAAAAGAGTGACCAAGCTAAACTTTGATATTAGATTGTGCTGGTTATTACTTAAAACACAAAGTTTTGTTCAGATATTCACATTGGCACACCGTTAAACAGATAACATGAAGATACCCAAGAGTTTGCTACCGAAACATGTTTCTCTTGCATCGAACACCTGCAGTTGTCAAGGTTCATCTTCTTCTTGGCAAGCAAATCCTTGAGCCGACCAGGTGTTGCCACCACAATGTGCACGCCCTTCTTCAACACATCAAGCTGTGTCCTCATATCCACACCCCCAATGCAAAGCAAAGGCCTTATCTCCAGGTACCCGGCCTCCTTAAGTGGAATGAGAAACTGCTCAATCACATCATATGTCTGCTTGGCCAGCTCCCGCGACGGGCATATGATCATCCCAAACGGGCCCTCCCCAGGCACAATCGGCATCAATGTTTCCTCCTGCACCGCCACCATGATAAGTGGCAGCACGAACACCAGAGTCTTCCCTGACCCCGTGAACGCGATGCCTATCATGTCACGCCCAGAGAGCACAACGGGCAGCCCCTGCACCTGGATGGGCGTGGGCTGGACGATACCCTCTCGCGCAGCTTCCGGAGCATGGGCTCCGGGAGGCGGAGGTCCCTGAAATCCCGCGCAGGCGGCGGGACATCGTCACCGTCGACGATGATGTGCCACTTGCGGCGGAGTTCGTTGGCCTTGGCGAGCGGCATGTGGCGGAGGCGGAGGGGCGGCTTCCACCCGGTCTGGATCGGTTCCGTGTAGATGATGCCCTTGGCGATCTCGCGGACTGACCTGAGGGATTTGTTGTCTGATAGATTCTCAATCACTTCCTTCTCCTGCTGGATGCGCTGCTCCGTGGCGGTCACCTCCGGGGCCGCGCGCTTAAGCTGCGTGGCCTTGACGAGAAGGCTGGGCTTCGCGGCGGCGTCGGGAACGGAGGCCTGCGCCGGCAAAAGAGGCGGAGGAGGCGGCAGCGGGAGGGTGGAGGCGGCGGAGCTCGGCGCCGACTTGGCGAGGCGGAGCTGGCGGAGGCGCTCGGCCTCCATGGCCCGGCGCTTGGCAACTGGGATGTACTCCTCATAGTTGTCTTCCTCATCAGAGTTCAACGCGGCGGCGGCGGCCATGGGCGGTCGAGGTTGGGGTTAGGGCTCGGGGAGTGGCGGTGGATTTGGGGAGGGGACCCAGGAGGAACGGAGAAGATTGGATCGAGTCACAAGGTTGGAGACATGAGGCCCAGCCCACGAACAGTAAGACACGGCCCTGTCAAAATAAATAAAGAAGGTCCCAAGGCGGTTCCTTTCTTCCCCAACAAGCATAGATGGCTACAGTATCTCTTAAAAACCAAAGATGGGTACAGTAAAAAATTATAAATGGCTAGGTTTCTCTAGGGTTCGTGCAGTTCATGTCTGAACTGAGGCCGCTTGCCCACGTCCTACGCCCTGTACGTTTGGACTTGTTTGGTTGATAAGCCATGGCTGAAAGTACTATTGGCTGATTTGGTATGAGAGAAAAATACTATTCGTTGGCTGAAAAAGTACGACTTATAAGCCAAACAAGTCCAAGCGAACAGGGCGCTAGTCAACCAAGTTCTTTTCTAAACTCAAGAAATAGCCTTAGATGTAGACCCTTAGTCGTCGTCACCTGGAAAATTGAGATAGTGTGCACTTAGTTTTCTTCTATTCTCTCCGTTCTCTTTTTCAGTTTAGTATGGATTTACGTTTCGCTCCCGAAGAGTAGATTAGGACAATAGTTGTGGGTGTCCATCGATGTCACTGTCATAGCCTAAGAAACATTTATATGGGTCTGATTAGTTGCATGTATCAATCTATATGTAGTTTGTTTGATGCTCAAAGCAGATCCCATGTTGTATTAACTAGTGCGTCAGATTTGGTTGTATTTGTCAATGTTTCGGACCGGGGGTCCTCAACCAAACAGTGAATTTGAACTGCGTACCTCTAATCCCGGGTGGTGATGTAAAGAGACACAAGGTTTATACTGGTTCAGGCAATTGACGCCCTACGTCCAGTCTGAGAGATCGATCTTGTGTTCCTTGCACCGAAGTGCTTGTGGTAGGAGGTTACAAGCAGGGTGAGAGAGGGAGCTAGTCCTAGGTCTCGGCGTGGAACGGTGCGGGCTGCTTGAGACGTTGCTCTCGGGCAGCTTGGGAGAGTGTGTGTGAGAGCGTGGTTCTTTCGTATGTTTTTTCGCCCCCTAGAGCTATCCCTGGCTGCTTCCTTTTTGTCGGTGTTTCGAACAAACACCGACGAGTAAATTTGTAATTGATGCGCGTTAGGCCCGGATGGTGCGCTAAAGGACACAAGGGTTATACTTGGTTAATTTGAATGTCCCTACGCCCGATCTGTTTCTTTGCTCGTGTTATTAGCACCGAATGAGGTTCGTAGTAGGGGGTACAAAGCGGTTGGGAGAGGGAGAGACCCCAAGTCCCCGATGGAGTGATTGGAAGGACGCCAAGAGCTCTGTTGGCGCTTGGCCGTGTGGTGCGTGTGTGTGTGTGTGCTAACTGTTCGTAATCGGTCCCTTAGTGGGGAGACCGCCTCCTTTTATAGATCAAGGGAAGCGGGGGTTTTTTACAGACGGGAAGAAGAAAACACTAAGAGCATAGAAGGTCCTTCGAGGAACCCGGTCCTTCCTTCTTCCCCACGCCGATCGCCCATCATGGAGATCGTGTCGATTGAGGCGATTGTGGACCGTCGTGGGCCACGCCACGCCATCGTTTAGCAAGTGGAGTGCGTCCCATCCGCCGCGCGGGCGGCGTGTCGGACAGATTTAGCGAGCCCCACCCGTGGGGGGTCTGGAGGCGCGATGATCGTTGGTTTGCCCTTAGAACGTAGTGGTTGTCGTATGTCTGCGTCGGGTTCTTTGTCCGGAGGTCGAGGGCGGCGCCTACAACATCGTAGGGACGGAGAGTAGGCGCCGCTGGTCACATCCTCGACGGTACATTCCCTCTGTGGGTGCGGGGCATGGCGTCTAACGCCGCGCGGTTGACCGAACGTCTTGTCTTACCCGCAATCGTCATCATGAGGGTACAGGCACGGTTCGTCAGTGTGAGATCTGGGCCACCCTCCGGATATCGGGCGAGGCGAGATTCGTCATTGGCCGTTTGGATGAGGTAAAACCTAGTTTTTACCCGCCGAGCCAGCGTGAGTCGCCCCCGGCCGTCGAACGGGCCGAGCCCAGCCCGGGGGTTGAGCGAGGCGGTGTGCATCCCTGGGGTCGGGTGAAGCCGAGCCCAGACCATCGGGCGAGGTGAGTCGCCTCCACCATCGGGCGAAAGCGGAGTCGTCCCCCGCCGCCGAACGGAGGCGAGAGCCCAGCCCTCGGGGGTTGAGCGAGGCGGAGCGCACTCGGGGTCGGGTGAAGCCGAGCCCAGCCCGGCGAGAGTGAGTCGCCCTCCGGCCGTCAGGCGAGTGAGTCGCCCCCGGCCGTCGGGCGGCGAGAGTCGCCCTCCGGCCGTCGAGGCGAGGTAGAGCGGGTCCCAAGGGCACATGGGCACTTCAGCAGGCGGAACAAGACTTCCGCTTGGTCGGGCAAGAGATGTGTAAGCGCCGGGAGTTTTTACCGCTCGATGGTTCATTGATTCCTCCTCTTTGGGGTACCCGGTATTAGGTCCCCGACAAGAGTCCCCGAGCCCTTGGGTGATTCGGGTTGAATCATCCGGGGTTTCTTCGATCTCGTCGGAGTTACCTTTCCAGAGGGTGCGTCTTGAAGCGCAACCGGTGGGTGTAGTTCTGAGCCCTTGCGTGGGCCTCCATGGTAAGATCGTAAGATTTAGGTTTTCTTGTTAGCTGGATCGTGGCATCCCGTTCATGGGATTTTATTCAAGACTTGCCTAATCGGGGCTTGACCGCGGATCGAGACCTCGATAATGCTTACGCCCTTGATTTTGGGTCGATTCGCGGACCCGTCCTTGGTTGGGCCGGCCGCCGAGCCTCTCAAGCCCTAGGCGGGCCAAAGAGAGAGAACAAATCTTTATGACCCGTGCTTCCTCGGGTGGGAAGAGAGTCCGGATTCGCTGGGGAAGTCGAGCCGTCCGCCGTGGTTTATGGTGGGAGAAGATAGGAATCTAGCGGGTAGCGTGTCCCGCATGGCGTGACGGGACAGCGTGTGGCAGCCCAGAGATCGAGGCGGCGGTTGCCCTTCTCGCACCCGTCGCCCCTATAAAACCACGGGGTTCACCCCGGGGTCCTGACCCGCCTTCTCATCTTCGTGTGCGGGATCTCCATCGCTAGTTCGCCTTGACCTCCTGCTCCCCGCCGCCTTGCCGAGCTCGAGCCCCCTTTCTCCCAATCACCTCGATGGAGTTGTGGGGTAAATCCGGCATCACCCCCGACGTTTGAGGGCCTTGTCCGCCGCTGCTTTCTCTCGTCTTATCCGCCCGGCCCGTGAGTGGGCTGCCGCTGGTGACGAGGCCGAGCTGCGCCACCACCCGGGGTATGTTGTGTCTTTCGCCGTTTTCCATGAGCAGGGTTTTGCCATACCTACGCATAGATTCCTTCGGGGGCTGTTGGATTATTATGATGTGGAGCTGCAACATCTAACTCCCAATGGGGTTCAACATATGGTGGCGTTTGTTGCCCTGTGTGAGGGTTTCCTGGGGATTGATCCCCACTTTGATTTGTGGCGATACTTCTTCACCATCAGTTTGTCGAAGAGGCGGGTCAGGGGGAAGGAGGTGAATGTGCCGATGGGATGTGCCAAGATTTATCTCGTGCCATACCCGGTCGAGGGATTACCCGCTCATGCGTCTGGCGACCTCGAACAAGGGATGGCACTCGCAGTGGTTTTACGTCAGGGATGACCCGAGTGCTACCCTGCCTAAGTACACCGGGCGCTTGATCGAAGAGGCTCCGGGGTCGTGGACTTGGGGTGTGTCGGCTTAAAGACAAGAAGCACCTTGTCGACCTTCTTGCCGGTCTCCAAGCTCGAAGGAACGGGTGTAAAGGGGCGGGGATCATTGGCGCCTACCACGCGAGGAGGGTGGCGCCACGATGGCACGCGTGGTTCCCCATGTCGGATGATGCCCGGGATGTCGTTCGAGGGACGGTATTTTGTTGACGAGGCTCCCTTATTCGAAGTGGCGCAAATGGTAGCGTTAAGGAGGCTGACTGAGCCGACGAAGGATTCTCTTTGGTGACGCCCTAGACATTATGTATCCGGTGCGGACATCCCCAATGCGCCGTAACTCGGGTTCTTTGAATTTGTAAGTTTTATCTCCCCGTGACTTTCCTTTTTTCCCGAATCTCCCCCGGTTCGATATTTGTTTTTGTGATGTTGGGACCAGCCGAGGAGGCTAGCCTTTAAAGACGCTTTGGTTCCATTGTCGAAGAATAAGGCCCTCGGCGGCGGGAATCGCCTCATGGTGAATCGGATAAGAAGACAAGGGAGCAGAAGAAGAAGGAGATGCGACGGAAGCAAGAAGCACGGGATCGAGGGGAAGATGTGAGCAGCGATGATGATGATGATGATGACGACGACAGCGAGGTAGCCATTGGCGTGGATTGGGACATCCTGGAGGATGAGGGCACGCTGACAGATGCCCACCCGTCCACGCAGGGACCCTTCGCGTTCCACGCGGAGGGAAGCGAGTTGGTGGAAGCCGGGGAGTCCGCCGCTTCGCACGGCATTCTGGGCGAGGATCGGTGGACGGAGGAAGGCGGGCCTGCCGCCGCCGACCCTGTGGCAATGGTGGAGAGGAGCGGCTTTGGTGCCGTGCCCCCTGCGGTAAGGGAGACGAGCCCCCCTGCCTTGGAGCAGGGGGCAGGCTCGAAAAGGCCCCGTCCAGACGAGTTGGGGCAAGGTCCTGGGGGTTCGTCCCCAAAGCGCTCCCGACGGCCGAAGGCGTCCGCGTAAGTCGCTGATTCCCCCGTTTTTTCATCCTTTTACCTTTCTATTTTGACCTGACGCCTCTTGCCTTTGTGTAGGTTTTTGCGGACGGGCCACTCCCTAGGGCTGGCGCCCAAGAAGAGTCTCGCCATTCAGGCGGGACGGATGGTGCTGCCCGACGTCGCCCCTGTTTCGGGTAGGAACGACGCCGATGTCGAGGCCGTGCTGGCTGATCCGACGGCGCCTGTGGTGGAGCCTGCGCCCTCGGCGGTTGTCGAGC